TGTTCTGGAACCAGGCCGCGTTCTAATTCGTCAAGGAGACGTTCTAAAACAAACACGAAAAGAGGAACAACCCCGTTTCCTGGTCCTTTTCACTGACTGTCTCTGGATTTGTCGTGTCTCGACGTCCCTCTCGGCATCAGGGGGACAATTTGAAATGCCACGTAGCTACCGTATCCCACTGGAATATATGCGTTTCGAGAGAATGGAAGATGACGAGTATGTGAAGTGTTTGATGGTTCGGAGCAAGGTCAAATCGGCTCTTTTCATTTTTCAATCGGAAAAAGAGCGGAATGCGTGGGCGGATGATTTGGCGAAAGCGCAATTTGAACGGAAATCCTATAAGAAACGGAAATCAAATGCCGCACATCTTCATGATGATCGATTGGTAAGAAAATGAAGGAAAATGAGCTAAGAGCGTTTTAGAACCCCGACGTTTTAGAGCTGCGACATTTCAGAACCGTGACATTTCAGAACCGCGATGTTTTAGAACCGCGACATTTTAGAACCGCGATGTTTTAGATTCGCGACATTTCAGAACCGCGACATTTCAGAACCGCGACATTCTTGAACCGCGACGTTTTAGAACTGCGAAATTTTGGAACCGAGACGTTTCAGAACTGCGACATTTTAGAACCGCGACATTTCAGAACCGCAATGTTTTAGAACAACGACGTTTCAGAACCGCGACGTTCCAGAACCGAGACGTTTTAGAACCGCGACTTTTTAAAATCACGACATTTTAGAACCGCGACGTTTTAGAACTGAAAAATTGAATTTTTGCAGCACAAAATGGGCAAGGTCCTACTGGAAAATGGCGAAATTCAAGAATCCAAATTAATAATTCCCGAAGATCCTATGATGAGACCTCAAATGATTGGTGGAGCATCTCGAAGCGAGTCTGGGTCACAAGATGAACTATCATCTGTCCCAGTGACACCACTGGATAATGGACAATTTGATGATGGAAATGGAATATTCGAGGGAATCATTCAGAAAAATGGAGGCGGATCGAAGAAACAGGCGGTGGCTGATGTGATTAAGCCTGTCTGGCTACCGGATAATGCATCAAATGAGTGTCTGATGGAGGGTTGCTCGACGGAATTCAATTTAATTATGCGGAGACATCATTGTAGAGATTGTGGATGGGTTAGTTGCAAAAATCCGTGTTTTTCAGTTGATTTTAGGCCATTTTGACCATTTTCAGCAATCTTGAGCTCGACAAAATTACCGACAATCAACTGAAAAATAGTCGAAAACAGGCAAAAATAGGCCCTTCAACTTTGAGCCAATTTATCTCGGTTACTGTAAGAGATAACAAAAAGTGATAAACTGATAAAGTGTTCATCATGATATGAGAAATATTTTATCAGTTGACCACTTTTTGATATCTCTTACGGGAACTGCGATAAATTGGCTCAAAGTGATAGAACTCTTTCATCTGATAGAAGATCATGATAGAAACTGTCAACTTTGAGCTCCATTATCTCGGTTACTGTAAGAGATATCGAAAAATGGTCAACTGATAAAATGCTTATAATAATATAAGGAACATTTTATCAGTTGACAAATTCCTGATATCATTCACAGGAGCTGAGATAAATTGGCTCAAAGAAAGGGACCTTCATTTTTTGTGTCATTGCCTCTGTGTGTCCAGATCTCCAAATATTTTTTTCGGACATCCAGACACACAGAGAACCAGACAGACTGGAAGATTTTCAAACATTTGAAAATTCATTTTTTCCCGTTTCAGAATTTTTAGAAAATCATCTGGGTATTATGTTTCACTCCCACATCTATCAATTATTGATTTATCGATTTTTCCAAATTTTCAGCTCATCTGCAAATACTGTAAAGGACAAGCGCCGCTGGCGAAGTACGAGTTTCGAAAGGAGAACGTGTGTTCCGAGTGCTACGATAAGCAGTTTGAGACTTGTGAGTTTTTGGTGTCCTAACTTTCGCAAGTTGAGTTTTCTAGGCCATCATGATAGATGGCCTTGAAAGGAAAATATTAGGTCATTCCTATGCCAAAAAAGTTGGTGGCCTAGAAAACTTCAGTTGCAAAGGTTAGGCCATCATGTTAAAAGGGTCTAGCTTGCACCTTATGCGTTTTATGGGCTATTTTATCATGGTGGCCTAACTTTTTCAAATTGGGTTTTCTAGGCCATCTTGGTCAATGGCTTAGAAAACACACCAGATGAATATGAAGCCATTTCTAAGCCTTTGAACTTGGTGGCCTAGGAAACCTAACTTGCAAAAGTTAGGCCATCATGTTAAAATGACCTATAAATGGTCTAATATCCACTTGGTGTGTTTTCTAGGCCATTAGAGATGGTGGCCTAGAAAACCTAACTTGCAAAAGTTAGGCCACCAAAGAACAAAAATCAATTTTTCTGAAATTTTCAGACAAAGCTGGAACGCTATTCCCGACACGAAACATTGTAATTCAAAGCGACGGAACGCACATGGTGAAAATTGGAAAACGCGATCAACAAGAGGTGGTGGACCCGCGAAAACTGTTCAAAGCGCCTGTGAATTTTGGATTTCGACACCGGAATGTTGACGAGAAGCGAGCCGGAGCGATAGTGTTTGGAAAAGTGCATTTGAGGTACACAAATTGTGAAATTTAAGGGAGAACATTTTGAAAATCGTGAAAATCAGAAAATTCTGACCAGAAAAGCTGAAAAAATGGAGAAAAATGACCCAAAATTGAGGGATTTTATGAGGAAAATGCAAACGCGCTCTGTTGAGAAATTAGTGAAAATAGGCATTTTTGGCTATAAAAACACACACACACCCACACACACACACACACACACACACACACACACACACACACACACACACACACACACACACACACACACATACACACACACACACACACCCACACACACACACACACACACCCACACAACCCCACACCCAATTTATCAATGGAGCGCATTTGAAATAATCCTAAATCAATTTTTCATATCCCTTAAAAGTTTCAGAAATCGAAAATCGGAACTAATTCGTTATGCACTCCTCCGTCGGGACGATTTGAAATTGGTGTTCCATAAAGCGGAATTAGACTCAAAATCCGTGTTCGAAGTATTGATTTATGGTTATTTCTACCGGGAAATTCATCTAGACGATGGAAATGGATGGATTTTTGAGCTGATTCATCGAAATCAAATACGAACTGATGATACGAAAGATGACGTCATTTCGTTTAGGGTTGATAACGAAACTAGTGCAAAGAAGTGGTCGGCTGCGTTCGCTGATAAATTAGAGATGGATCCCACTTTTAAGCCTTGATTCATTGATTTTTTAAGCCCCTTACCTTTGCAGCCATCTATCTCGGACCACTTTTGGATAGCTCTTGTAGGAACTGAGATAATTGAGGTCAAACTTTAAACTTCAAAGTTAGAGGTGTCCAATTTTGATGTTCAAAGTTTGAACTCAGTTATCTCGGTTACTGTTAAAGATATAAAAAAAGGTCTACTGATAAAATGCTACTGATTATGTGATAAACATTTTATCAGTTGACCACTTTTTGATATCCTTTACAGTAACCAAGATAATTGAGGTCAAAGCTAAAGGTCCCCTATGTACAGTACCCCCTTCTTTTTATCCCGGTGATCATGTGAATCTTATTATATATTTTTCCTCTTTTTTGACTGAATTTTCTTGTTACAGGTACAAAGATTTTTATTGTTTTATATAGATTGTCCTCTCTTTTTCAAATGGTCCTATGTCTCTGCTGAATTCTCTGCTCTCATTTGGTTTTAATCCGAAATTTTATGGAAATGGAGATAAAAATGAAATACTGATTCAATTAAGATTTTTTGAAGTTTTGGAATTTCTGGGAACAGTGATTTTTTATGTGTACACCAAAAGAATTGAGATCTCCAATAATTCAAATTCGATTAGGAAAGTTTTGAAACAGTAAAAAAAAATATTTTAAAAACAATTTCAATGAAATTTGATGGAAATTTTAAAAAAAAATTCAAAGTTATAGTTTTGAAGCATAAAAGTTTTTTGGAACAATCACATTCAAAAGTTTATTCGAAAAATGAAAATTTTCTGAAAAATTCAGTCGCAATACTTTTTTTTTGTGAGAATCTCTTTATTCAATATCAGTGAAACTGGGAATTTCAGAATTTTAGAGTTTAGAATTTCTAGAATTTTCAAAGATGAAAAATTGTATTCCTGCATTTTTTACAGGAGAAAAATTATTTAAAAATACAAAAATACAATGAGGAATGGAAATTTTATGAAATAATTTTTTTTCGAAAAACAGGAGAATGAAATCCAGTGAGTACTGAAAGAAAATCGAGATCTTCAATGGTTCAAATTTTAATCAGAAAATTTTGAAACAGAAAAAATATTTTAAAAATTTTTTTCATTGAAATATACAACGCTGATTAATAAGATTTACAAAAAAGTGTTCTTCAGTTGATTATCAGTCATTTATAGGAGTCTGGAGCTCGGAGTCTGGAGTTTCAGCTATTTGCCGACTTCTGAAACACACCTGTTTTTTCACATTTTCAGTACAAAAACGGCTCCGCGACGTTTCGAAAGTGTGACGTTTCGCAAGTAAGCGCGTTTTTGCATGGAAGAAAAAGCAAAAACTTGTATTTGAGTGTTTAAATGGTTTTTCGAACAGAATTTTGTATATTTGAAGCTTTCAAAGCATTAATTGCCGTACTTTCGAAACGTCACACTTTCGAAATAAATCGAAAAATGTGTGAAACAGCT